GGCTCCTTCTCGAGGCAAGAGAATACGCATCGGGCACTGTGTCCGTCGCGCATGACGGATCGGCTCCGTTTTCCACAATAAGTCTCGCGGATCTGCATAACGCGCGACAGCCAACACAGTGTTGGAGGAATGTTGAAAACTGTCTCGAAGTCAGTCAGCGTCAGGGTTCCAGGTTGTCTTCAACAAGGCCCGCTTTTACCCCTGAACGTTGGCGTCGGTACCTTGCAGCTTTGCAGGGCGTTGCGGCTAACCCAGCCAGTCTCGCGTCGCTTGCAAGGATCTTCACAAAACGAAGCCCATCATTGGACAATCCCGCTCGAGCTTGGCTGAAATAGGGATAGCCAAAGATCGCCGATGCAATGCCTCGTCGGGTTAGTGAGGGGGGCCACTACCGCAGTCAGGAACCTCAGGCAAAGGGAACTTTCAGATACGGAGGGGTGGTGCTCAAACTTCGTTGAGCCTCCCCCCTGTCTTCCACGCTTCCCACGCCTCTGTCTCCCACTCAAAATCCACTTGGTCAGGCTCCGGCGTGCTTCTTTCATCTGATCTTTTCTCTTCCCGCTTCTGGCTCTCGACTCCAGTTGTACCTAGTTCCGGTCCGCGTCCGGCCCCATTTAACAACTGTCAAACTAGACAGCGACTGGGCTTCCTCCGCAGAGAATCAGCCAAGCACCCTGGGGAAAGACGGGATACGGCGGCTAGCGCTCAAACAGGACTGCGGCGCCGCATAAAGGAGAAGGGCAAACAGCAACACAATGGGAAGAGGCATTCAGAGTACCGTGCGTTGTTGGTGGGAGATCGTCGTTTTGCAGCCCGCTGGCCTCGGGGCCAAACAATTCAAACATTTCTGCTACTGACTCAGCCACAAGCTCCGACGACGGTCAGTCATCGCATATGAATCCGACCGACCGGCTTTCCTAGCAGCATCCACCACCGCCTACCTGGCCTGTCGACCCGCCGCCCGTCGTGATTGAAATTCGTAAAACCGCTACGGGACGCTTCAAAGAAGGTGTCCGGGGTCCGTTGCCTCCGTCGCCAGCATCACCGGACCAAACCTCTCGTAGCCTGTCCGGTGAAATGTTCCAGAAAAATCATCGAACATTGCGAACCTGAGGTCCCTGGCCGCCTGCCCTAGTGTGCCCCTCCCCCTATCTGAGGGCCCTGCTGGGCGACACCTCGCTAGCCAGGAGCCCTTGAAAGGTCGGCTCGTCTGTCTGGACCCTTCATGGATAACACGCAAGATTGCCGCACGAGGTAGACGAGACGATGGATAGGCGAGATGTGTCTCTAGCATCATGTGTCGCAGCATCTGTGGCACAACTATCCGTCACGTCAGACACTGTGAGGGTCGACCGTTGAGAGCTTGTCATCATGAATGTTCAACTTTAGGGTGTCTGCCTTGCCTCTCGTTTGGCACTACAGCTGACATCCAGAAACGTGAATCAGCACCACTTCTCGGCCGATAGCGAATCCCTTGACACAGCAACGCAGGCAACTACGAAGTAACACTGACAACACAATCGAGCATGAAGTACTCTGTAGACAAACCGCGAATATCGATTGCAAGGCCAAGAAAACATGGCGTCCCAACTGTCATGCAGTCCGCTCCCCTACCCCCGGGCTGCATGACCACGGACCACACTTGATCCAATGAGCAAGTTACTGAAGCCCGGCCACTCGTGGAGGCATGAATGATCATCGCAGCCCTCCGACACTTCCATCAACAGACGCGTGTGGACGCGTTTCTATGTTTTCTCTCCGCACGAAAAAGCGGTTGCAGCAGAAACATCTATGTAAACAGGCACATGTATCCGATTTCTTCGTGACGAGATGCATCTTCTCGTCGTTCCGAAGACATTAGACAACGAAACTCGCCGCCCTGGTCGATCTGAGGCATCGTGCGTATGGTCAGTGTGCCGTTCTGGGGTCGCTCGGTTCTCGACCCCGAGAAAACTGGCGAAGCCTCATGCGCAATCTACGGGCAATCGACGTGGCAGCATGGCAGCATCTCAGTCGCGCACGGAATCCTCAGCGTCAAGAAATCGAACAGGGCCACCTAAACTGCCGTGACACCGGGCCAAGCATTCCCAATTGAGTTTGCTGAAACTGCTCCGGGTCTTCGCTTCTTTGACAAGCATTGCAGGCATCGCGGAGAAATTTCCGAGCGAGCCCAGCACCCCGCTGCGAGAGAGAAATCAGTGAGGAAAGACGCACCAGTCATGCGTCGACACCGCTCCGCCGCATTGTCTTTTGCGATTCGTGGCGGCAGAACACTTCACGACTCCTCTGCCGTGCTTGGGCCTCCAGCATGACAAAGAGAGGGAGGAACCACACATCGGCATTGCGGCGGTGGGCCCCTCAGCAAAGGCTATGCCGGAACCCTCCCTGCTCGCTTTCTGTCTGCGACGTCGTGCACCATTCCATCCGTACGAGATCGCACAAGGGGTTGCCAAAGATCGGCGCTAGCGTTCGTCTGATGTTCCCGGGCCTCACCGAGACGGGGCCCCTGGCCGGTCTACCGATGACAGCTTTACCGGGACGGAGCCTGTTCGCCGAAGGGAGAGGGCCTTTCGGTCTGGATTTTTCCTTCCGGGCTAACCCAGCTTGACCGACTCGAATCGTCCGAACACGCTCCTGGCACTGACTCGGCGCCACTCCTTCATATACACTTGGACAGGTCCCAACCAAAGAGACGTGACGATGACTGACCCGGCCGTCAGGTTACATGATGCACCCGGCTTCCCGACACACGGTCCGCCGAACTCTCAGATATATCAAGTAGTGGATCACCCTACATATTGAGGTCAACAAGGACAACCGTAACTTTGCCTCTTTACAATCCGGGTCTTTTGAGGGTCTGTTGCGCTGCCCCCAACACGATGAGATCGTCCGAACTCCAACAAAATATATGACTGATTGGCATTTACATTAAGCCCTATAGTGGATGGGGCTGGCCTAAGGGAGTCTGAGATGCTCGGAACCTACCGAGCCATTGGTGCTTGTGGGCACGTTGATTGCGGCCTGGCATAAGGTTGTGTATTAAGGGTATCGTTCTCGACCTTTTTAGGAGGCAATGCGAGACTTTCGGGCTTTTGGCTTTCGGCACTGTCGACGTCTTCCAAGGGGGCGGGCGGGCGGGCAAAGAGGCGCGGATGCCACGTCGGCATCTACGCGGATAGCTCCTTTTTGTGAACCATGGGCAGTGTCAATACGAATGGAACTCACAAAGTTTACTTGTGAAACGCCCAGATGGTAAGTTCAGTATGGCCTGGGGTAGGTTGATTCCGCATCACAACATTGATTCTTTCTACTCGTGAGCATGAAGAGGAGCGGCAGATGAGTCTCATGAGTATGTGTGCGCTGTGGACTACAGACGTAAGGGCAAGTTTGACATCCAGCGGAGCGTGCCAACTCTACAGCCCTAGCCTGCGGTTGAGTTGAATTGCGTTTGTGAGCCTTGGAACCTCGTCCTTCTATGTCGGCGCAAACGTCAGATATGTCAAAAATACCAGCAGCTCATCTTTCCTTCAAATCATTATGAAGTTCCAGAAGGATTGATGTGTGAAATAAGTTATGATAATAAGTTCTTCGCACTTGATGCCATGCCACATAAACCTGCCTACTAAACAATGTGAAAAGGACGTTGTTTGCAATTGGGCCTGGCCTTCTCAAAATTACCTTTGTCCAACTATCTCATTGCGATAACTGGCTCATCTAGCAACCATTCTTTGCCCTGAGGGTTCCAGCTCAGGTGGTCTCGTGCGGTATGAGCTGGATTGAATCTTGCCAGCAAGGACCTAGTCTTCCGGTTGTCTTATGAGAGAGGTAGTCCTCGATATCGGCGGCGGCGGCTTCACTGGATACGGTGCTTTTTTGCTGTCGAAAATGGTGTGTAATGTGACTTAAACGAGTTCACATGAGCACGCATACTTGTCATGGTCAGAACTGGCTCTTCTCTTAGTCAACGGGAGACAGGTCTTGAGATGTTTGGACTGCGTCGTAAAGGGGTGGGCGTTGGGATGTCTGGTATTTAAACAGCCTAGCCTGACCTTTTAGTTACTGCGAAGTCACAATCTCGGTGATTAGGTGTACCTAGGGTACTTGCGAATGAGCTTTGCAACTTTGACATCAGTTGTCGACAAATTCCTCAGCCTCCTCGCAATAATGATGATTTCACTCCTGTCCGGGTTTGATCGTCGTCACCTCGCGGCTCCGACGTCTCGGAGGTATTCACTGCGTGTGGTTTGGGTAGGGATCTGAATACGCGCGGGTTGTCTTGATCTTGATCTTTCTGAGAATCTTGGCGCCTTCAAAACTTGTTCCTTATTGTGCACGTCTTGAAATATTTCAGTTCACGCCAGGGCAATCGATCACTTCAAGACGCCCGAGAGCCATCCGATTTCCTGGCCTCTCAAAAGCTCTTTGTAATGGGGTCTGTGAACTATTTTATACTCTCTTGGCGGGTCAAGAAGCATCTCGTCCATGGTGTATCTATTTTATCATCTGGAAAGTCTCACATGGGGAGAGTGTGATAAATGTAGGGAACAACTTTGGTGAATGGGGTGTTGAAGAGTCTCCAGCTTTCTCAGAGATAGTTACTAAACTTGATTAACGCCTAAACTAGTTGAAATCCTGAGGGATCAAATCTCAGAGACAGAACTGGACAGGAACAAGCAAGACATGCTGTGTTGACGTAGCACTGAAAGTATTGTCTGTAGATGAAAGAGACAGTCAACGACGATGAATAAGCTTGTCGAAGGATTCGTCAATAAGTTGACGCTGCGGGAGGCTCCATACATTGACGTGTTACGGTCAGATTCTTACCTGTTGAGCGAAGGATGGCATAAATTTCATATCACAGCTGTGCCATCGCCAACGCTCTTTTGCCATTTTCTTCATGCTACTTTCTTTCCATGTATGATTGTTCTCTATCATGGTCAGAGCAAACCATGTGTTCCTCACTACGACTTGCCGCGCCCCCTCCACATCACCAACCACAATCACAACTCCTTCATCACCTCACTCACAGCCTTCTTTGCCATCTTCCTCTTCTGCTCCTCAGGCAACCCCGCGCTCATATCCCTGACAGCCTGCAACTTGCGCATCATCCCCTCCAGCTTCTCAATTTCCTCGGCATCAAGCTGCTCCTCCTCGTCGTCCGCCTCCTTTTTCGTCGCATTATTTGCACCATCGCTATCCTTCTTCCTGTCACCATCCTTGCCCTCACCCTCGTCATCGGCTTGTTGCTGCTCCAGCTCCAGATTCCAGATTGCCTTCTTCAGCCCCTCAAAATCAGCCCTGTCGAACCCGAAATCGAGACTCTCCGGGTCGAAGTCGAACTCGTCGTCGTCCCCGTCAGCGAGTGGTCTGGGTTTGCGCGGCAGGCCCGCCATCTCCGCCTCGACGTCCTCAAGGTCCGAGTCGACGTCCGGCCCGGCGTCAGCGGCCCAGTCGTTTGACTCCAGCGCCTCGAGAACTCGTGGGATGCCCATTTTTTCTAGGGATTTTGGTTAGTCTTTGGCTTTCTGACCTTGATGGAGGATAGGTGGCAAGGAAAGGACAAAACAAACCTCCAAACTCGTTCCGCCCGTCATCCTTCTTGCCCCCGCGCACCTGCACAAACTCCAGCCCCCACTCGGCGCACAGCTCCTCCCACTCCTCCGCATCGCCCTCGCCGACGCCGATGCCCAGCCCGACGCCGTCCCACGCCCACCCGCCAAGCCCCTCGCGCACGACCTTGCCGACTTCCGATATGAGCGCGCGGGTTTCGTCCGCGGTGGGCGGCGGCGCGGGAGCTGCTGCTGCGGCTGCGGCTGGTGGCGGTGATGATGATGATGGTGCTGCTGCTGTTGTCGTGGAAGAAGAAGAAGGCGGCGGCAGGGCGAAGATGACTGCCAGACCTCCCAACACGGAAAGGACCTCCTTCGCCTCGGGAGACAGGAAGGAGGCGGACCACTCGGCGGGCGAGGTGATCAGGTCCAGCCAGATGGGCACCTGGGCGGTGTAGTAGCTCGTCTTGATGTCGAGGAGATGCGTCGTGCCGGCCAGGGATGTTGAGGCTGGTTCCGGTACGGCGCCGGTGAGGTCTGCGATGTGTATCAGCCATTATGCCTCATAGCCAACCATCTGACAGTGTGTCTCGTGAAGCTCAGATGTGCCAGCTCTCTCTTTCACTTGAGCCATGGCGGGGTGATAAGATAAGCTGTTTTCGGACGAGGTTGCGCACCTTTGATTACTCTGCTGAGATGCTGCGTCGACTCGGCCAGCGAGACGGCCAGCAATCGGCGCGGATTCGAGACTTCCGCCATGCTTGTGTGTATATTTCTATGAGCTTGGTGAACTGACGTGGACTGGAATGCAGCATTGAGAGGTTGGATGTGACAGTTTGGGGCCCAAAGTATCGGGACGGGGTCACAGCTTACCTAAACGCCGGAGGGCGGGACCTGCGCTAAGCGGGTGCGGGGCGCCGAGCGGATGCTACGGACCCTGAAAACGCTCCAGTGTGTAAGACCACCAGGGACGGGCATCGTTTCTTTCAGCATCTCACACATTGGACATCTTCTCTGCACTTGACACGTTGCACTCGTACTACACAAGTGAGAAATGGTATCAATTTTTGTATTGAAGAGGTGAGGTGCGTGCGAACACTCTGCTAACAACTGTTTTTTATAGCCTCGCTACCCATGCAGAACGGGGTATTCTGAAGAAAGAGTCGGAAACGATCATGATAACGTGCAGTCTGGGAATCGTCATAATGCAAAAATGAAACGCCCTCCGAACCAGCCGACCATGAACGCATCAGAGAAAAGGGAAATAAGCCAAGCCAAGCGAAACCAATCCAAGCTGAGATGAGAAGACCCGGAACCCAAAAAGAAATGCAGTACACAGTAAAAACGCCTAGCAATCACCGCCCCAGCCAAAGTGACGGTTCACGACGTTCATCGCGCTCACGCCAGCCCTGACGATGCCCCTGGTTCTCTCGTCGTCCATGCCCGCGAGGACATCCTCGAAGCTGGTATCCTGGCGGCCCTCGGCATCCCTGAGGTCCCGCTGGTCCAGCTCGCCCTGGCGGCGCTCCATCACGGCGCGGTGGATGGCCCTGGCCCACATGTTGTACCACTGGTCCTCAGACACAGTGACGTACTCCCTCCCGACGACGCGGCCGGTCTGCGGGTCCCGCTTGCGCCGAGAGAAGGGCCACTCCGCCTCGACGACCTCGAAGCGCTTGGTGCGGAAGAAGAGGTACGGCCAGGCAAAGACCCACAGGAAGGTGAGGTAGAAGAGCCAGCGCACCCAGCTGGAGAAGCGCCAGCGGTTGACGCGGCAGGTGTTGTAGACGTCGACGCGCTCGTCGCGGACGGGGAAGCTCACGTCGATGCGGCCGCGGTAGTGGGTGGAGCGGACGAGGTCCTCGAGGCGGCCCTTGAGGCGCTCGTCATCGTCGAAGCCGGTGACGGTTCGGGAGAGGGTGAAGGTCTTCAGACCGGCGTGGGAGGCGCAGTAGCGATGGCACCACTCGCGCAGGGTTGGGGGCTTGCTGCCCTCGACGACGCCGCCGGCGGAGGAGGAGCCGCCGAAGCCCGGGGCGCGGGTGGGAAAGACGGTGCCGCGGCGGACCTTTGAGAAGTTGTCTGCGGTGCGCAGGTCGCGCCAAGACTGGCGGGCGGAAATATCGCGGTAGAGGAAGGGGGTCAGGTCGAGGCTGACGTCGAAGTCGACGACGGTCTTGGACTCGGTCTTGTTCTCCGACTTGTGGACGGTGCTGGAGTGGGTGCCGCGGACGCGGACGTACGGGCGTGGAGGGAGCTGCGCGAGGGAGGTGATGAAGGATTCGAGGTAGGCGGGGTCTGTGTCGAGGCGGTTGGAGATGTGGATCTCGTTGCCGGTTGCGGGATCTCTGCGGAAGAGATTCGGGGCGGCGTGTTCGTCTGCGAGCAGGAGAGAGGGATTCGGGGGCTCGGCGGCAGGGTCGTCTGTATAGGAGGGCGGCAGGTCTAGGGCGGCGCTTGAAGAAGCGGCGGCCGGGTTGTCGAAGTAGGGGTCGTTTGTGTGGAGGGAATATGCGTCGTTGGGCTGGTCGAGGCGGAGGGGTGGCGGGTTGTTGGACTTGGCGTCCTCGGGGGCTGCTTTGGAAGGGGGCAGCTCCGGGGAGAAGGCGCCTGGCATCGACATTTTGGAAATGTTGGTGTTGTTGCGGGTAGAGTGGCTGGCCGACTGCAGGGTGCGGAGAAGAGATCGGTGAGTGGAGGTGAGGATTAAGGACGTGGAGAACACTGAATATTCCCTGTCGCTATCTTGGAGGGTGGAGGGAGAGGAGGACTCGATCCCGCAAAGATGGAAGTCGACGGCGGTAGAGAGAACCGACGAGGAATCAACGCGAAGACAAAAAAAAAAGATTAAACGAAGGACGGTGCTGAGTGAGGGGATGAAGGAGAGGGATGGATGGGGTGATGCCGCAGGCAGCGAAAGGAAAGGTAAGGAAGACAAGGTATGGTCTTTCCGGGTCGCTATTTTGGCTTTGCCGTCGCTCTGGAGTCTGGGCAAGGTTCCAGGCCCGGAATCTGCATCCACGTCTTGGCCACCAGACCCTGAAGTGACCAACGAAAACAACAACACCTCACACTCAAGCTACCTTACTACGCTGCATCCAGGTACCCTTACTGCCATACACGAATCAACGGCCAACAGTTTCGTCTTGCGGCGCAGCAGCACCCACCTGGTGTTGCGGAGGACCCTAACAACCTCACGGCCAGCTCACACGCACACACATAATTGTTTTTCTTCCCTTTGCTCCTTCTGGTACCTGAAGGTAAAGTACGCAGTAGACAGGGCCAGAGAGACAATAAAAAAAATATTTGGTGCGGAGAGACGATTGAGCGCCACAGATTGGCCACTGGCCACTCACCACGGGCCTCTCCTCTCTTCTCCTCCTCTGCGAGGCGACGTGGACGCCAAGTTCTGGCCAGTCAGGTGTCGGATGGCGGTCATTCTGCATTGTCACTGGCGGCGCCCCCGCCATCTCCACACGGAACATCCAACCGGGCGCTGGCCACTCAGCCACTCGTTGCAGGACCTCGTCCCACTGTTGAGACGTCGCTCGTGCCACCTGCTCAATGCGATGAACCTGGCAACATACTGGCACGTGTACCTACATATATCTGCCTGTCCCTTTCCCCCCCTTCCGTGCCAGGTCATCTATTTTCAAAGACGCGGTGAAGAGTCTTCCTTCGGCTTGATCCGAAGGAAGGAAGCATGTTGCAGCGCTGAACGTCCCTCCCGGCCCGAAATTATGTTGTGATGCGAGACTGCTGCGGCTGAAGGGGCTTCGTCAGCGATACCGCGCCCCCTTTCTTAGCTGGCTGAATGAGCGGCGCCATCTGGGTGTGGCGCTTTTCGTTTGCTTAGTTGACTTTTGATTGTTTCTTCATGCTGAAAAAGTCTATTCACAGCCAAGACTGACATGACATGGTGTTCTGATGACCGTTCCTGCCGTAATGATCTCAACTGTCGAGAACTTGGGTCACCATCCACCAAGGCGCTCAAGATCAATCTTGTTGATGCCAACCTTTACGTCTAGAAATATCTGGGATTGGATGTGAGGGTGAGAACAAGCTTCACTGTTGCCTGCTTCCGGCTGGCAAGGCTTACTTATGAGATGAGTAGGTGTAAGGCCCGGTCGGCGAACACGTTTTGTCAATTGGCGGGCATGACCGCGCCAAGATCTCCCAATGAAACTAGGGACAGAGCAATCTGAAGCCAACTTTCTTGTTCGGCGGACATGACGAGAGGCACAAACCCGTCTGTATCGTTCTTGACATTCACTGAATAGAATTGTTACGAGCTAAATCTACTATCTCTAATTCGACCCTCATGACGACACCAATCCAGAGAAATCGTACGCATATATTTCGTCAGCTATCTTGAGTTTGTGATTGTTCTTTACAAATCTTGCCTCATATTTCCTTAGTCTTTGACCCGTATAGGAAGCTGGTGTCATCACGCGGTGTTCAAACCACGATTGGAACTCAAAACCGTCGCCGTCAGCTCACTGGATGATGGTCCAGGGCCAATATAGTCTCTTCAAGTCCGGGATGTGTTTGCTGGCTGTACGTGCCATCGAACGGTAGGGACATCATTACACTTCCCGACTCCATATGCGAGGCCAATAGTGTCGTCGTCCGCTCAATGGCAGCTGGATCCGACCACAATCAAATCCAGTATTATTCGCGAATACGCCTCGTACCATAGAGGCCGTGGACGAAGGAAGAGAACGTGTTTAGTGTTGGAGTTGCGGGAACAGCTTAGTGCTGTGGACTTTTACCACCGATACGAAGGTCATTTTCTCTGCCAAGATGGAGACGGACTTCGAAAAAGACATGGTATCTCTCCTGTTGAGAGTAAACTGACCAGGTAGTCTTGGATCATTAAGTATGATTGCAAAATGTCTTGCTTGAGGTCTCGCTATCAATATCTCAGCGGGGTCGCTGAGAGAGCGAGGCGTCAATGAGAAGGTGTATATTTAAACACAACGGAAGAGTTCGAATCTTATGCAACACAACAACAAATATATGGAGCCTGTCGATTCTTTTGGTGCGCTGGTGACCACGGTACTAGAATAAACCTGATTGCACCGCTTGATCTTATCTCGTTCATTACCTCCTCGAAGTGTGTGTCTCCCCGTCTACCATTCGTACCCATGTATTGGGCATGTAACACGACCAGCATCGCCGTTCAGGACGAGTGGCAGTCATATTGCCATTCTGATCGCTACTTATCAGCGCGGCCACGAATATTAGGCTGCAAACTCTTGTTGGGTTACCATAGCCTTTGGTTGAGCGACATTGGCTCCGGAAGTATGTGCCAATGCACAACAATGCCACTTGAAAATCCTTCGCTATGCTGCTTGAATCTGGTCATCCGCCGAGTATAAATGAGTCTCATATCTAAGATGAAGGGCTGGTCTTCTTTCCAGGCCAATGGGGCGTTTCATCAGGCGGTCATTTGTCAATCTTGATGAAGGTTCATGAAATGATCACGAGTATTTTATAGACTAAACGATCAGGGAATCTTCAGCATCCAGTCTTCGGTCAGGTTGCCGAGATGTAGTAATACGTGGGAACCCCATGGAAAAGATGAAGGAACACGATGTCTATGGGGCCAGGCAAAAGCACATAATGAGGCTCAGCGTGACCAGACAAGATGTCTAATTTTTTAGACGGTACGTCAACTGTCCAGTGACAGGCCTAATGCGCCAAAATGCGAAGTATGCCACATCATTGCCTTCGTCGTGACGGACACACATGGTGCA